CGAGCTTGGTCTTCCCATTATTTTTATTTTTGGAGCCTTTAGCATGCTCCACCACGTTGGCCTTGGCGCCATGAACAATTGGGAGTTTCCCATCGTTCTTCCGGTTATCCTCTTCAATCCGCAGACGGAGGATCAATTGCTCCAAGTTCATTTCCTTTCGCTTGTGCTTAAGGTAGTTCTTGAAATCCTTCCAAGCTGGCGGCAATAAATGGATAATTGACGCCACTTGGAAAGACTCACTAACTGTCATTCCTTCATCTCGAATTTCGTTGAAGATCATTTGCATCTCCTCAACTTGACTCAAGACCGTCTTCGAATCCACCATTTTAAAGTCAAAGAATCGACCAACAACAAATTTCTTTGCGCCGGCATCCTCGCTTTTATATTTGTGGTCCAAAGCATTCCATAGCTCCTTAACCGTAGCTAGTTTGCTATATACGTCGTACAAAGCATCATGCAGCCCGTTCAACACATAGTTTCGGCAAAGGAAGTCAGAATGCTTCCAAGCTTCAACCGCGTTGAAAGATTGCGCATCCACCTCACCCCCGGTTGCTACCGGCGCATCTTCGGTCAAGAATCTAGCAAGACCGAGAGTAGTGAGGTAAAATAGCATCTTTTGCTGCCACCTCTTGAAGTTTAACCCGTTGAATTTCTCGGGTTTCTCCACAGAGTTGCTTGGCACGGTCACCATAGGGATAGCCCTTTGGTTGGCCAAAGCAGATGCACCGCGTTGTGAACTATTGTTCACCGGTGCTCCGCTTTCAGAGTGATTGTCGTTCAGAACATTCTGCCCAACACCAATCTCGTTTTCTTGAGAAGTCATTTTCGTTCTTTAACGTTTTTCCGAAAACACAAATAAAATAAGTTCGTTCACCAAAGTGACAAACTTCGTTTAAGATTGTTTACCGGAGTAGAACAATCAACAAATACGTTTTAAGATTGTTGGGTGTGTTTCGGAAAATAAAGAAAATTAATTAAAATAAATTAATTAAATAAAATGACTAAAGAAAAACAGGAAAGGAGATGAAGCAGAATTAGTCAAAGCTCGTGCTACGCACGATTTCCTTAAAACGTATTTGTTGCCTCCCACGGTGCTAGGAGCGTTGCAACAATCGTTTCCCAGGATACGATGACTACGAACTAATGTTTGAGCACACAAACAAGAGTTCCAGCGAACGAGAACCAAGTATGAACACAGAAGGAAGTTTGCTGAGTAGCTTTAGATGTTTTTAGCTCAAGAAATTCGTGAGGAATGTATTGTGCGTTGTTGTTGTTGCAAACCACCTGCCAGCTATTTATAGGAGGATTTGTTGTGTGTTAAATGGGGTGTTAATGGACCTGAACGTTGGACTTCAATGACCAGTCCGTTGGGCATTGAATCATCCATAAACTGTCCATTTAACGTTGCATTAAAAGACAAGAACGTTGGGCATTTAATGGTTGTAACGGCTTGGAGCAGTTCTGGTGCGCGATCAGAATACCCCCACCAGAGTTGGAGCAGTTCTGATGCTACCAGAAGACCTCCACCAGAGTTGGAGCAACTCTGATGCGAAGCAGGTTTTCGAACGACATTCGTGTCCGCAGGTCGCCCGCGCACACGAGTCGCGGTTTTTCTTCTCCGTTTCGGGATTTGATCGGCACCCCCCCCTGCGCGTAAGAGAGAGCCTTTCCCTTTAGGAATCTTAACTCCTTAAAAGAGGCTTCCCTTTATAAGGGGGTGAAAATCCCTTGAGTTTTTCGGTGTGGGATAAAACACACTAGAAACTCGCCATTTTCCCAGTTTTTCCATTTCAACGAGTGAACTTCGAGAATCAATTTTGCATTCACCCGTTATCCGTTTTGAGTGTACCATATATCGAATTGTAGTTCTTAACAAGGACAATCCGAAACCACTTTGACCCGACCCAAATCGGAAGTAGACCCCACTCAAATAATTGCCCCAAAAAGACCATTTAATGCAATTTTAACACATTTTTCCAACATTTTCTTCCTTGCTTCCATTCTTCCAGATTCTCATTTTTAGGGTGGGCAGCCGGCGGTGGCGGTTGGAGAACTTGTGGCCGTGGCCGACGGATTGAGAGCGGATGTTGAGGAAGACTGGTGGCATGCGGACGCGGCTATGTAAGCTTTGACTGTGGGCTACGGGAGGCGGCTGATGGCGGTTTAGAAGTTAGTTGATGAGCGGCAGGCTGCTGCTGCTGCTGCTAGGTGACGCTTTGGCTACGGGCGATAGGCGGCAGATCGGAGAAGTTGTGGGCGACGAGCAAAATCTAGGATACCGGCGGTTAAACGAACTGCGGCCGTGCGGTTAGACAAGCTGCGACCTTGCAGTCGACGGTCGGCCGGCAGCAAAGAATGAGGAGGAGTTGCGCGACAAAAGTTAATTCCCTTTTGTGGAAAGAATTACAATAAGAAAGAAAGAAAGAATTAAAGAAACAAAGGAAAAAAGAAAAAATGCAGACACAACTGGTAAGGACGGGGAAGAAGAAGCGTGGTAGCCAGGAGAAGAAAGAAAGAGACAAAAGAAAACGCAAAAACAAAAATGAAAAAGCAAAAAAAAAACCACATGGAGTGCCATTTGACGGTTACCTGGCTAGGTTTAAAAACCGACCTGACCGGCCGGGTCAACCCGGAACCCGGCGACTCAAACAAGAACCCGAGTCGGTTAGTTCAAAATCCAGAAATGATAAAAAATCGGAAAAACCCGATTGACTCGAGAAAACCCGGTCCGGACCCAGAGCCAAAAAACTCGGAAAAACTCGGTTTTGGGTTTTTTTTCCAAAAAAAATAATTTCTTTTTTAATTTTAATGCATTTTTAAACCAATAAAATTACAATTCCAAAATCGTAAAAAGAAAAATCATGTAATATATTTATATATTTATTTAGGAATAAAAATCATGCTAAATTAAATTATGTGTACAATACAAAAGAAAAATCATTATACGTAGTATATTTTAATATGATCAAATTATACTTTGGAATATTATGAGAGTGTATTAAATGCTTAATAAGTATTATCCTTAGTTGATTATTATAAATAATAACTACTTTTTATTATAATTTTGTATATAATTATATGTTTATTATTATATGGGCATAAAATCGTTGACCGGTTTTCCGACGTTGACCGGGTTGACTCGTGACCCAGTCATGTGGTCGGGCCGCTTCGCGAATTGGTTTTTTAAACATAGTTAACCAGATGGTAACCGGTTAAATAGCTTCCTTTAGGACACGTTTACTTCACGGGTTAGTAAACGATGCTTATTAAGACTCGCGTTAATAAGCGGCGCATAAAATAAGCAGTGTTGTAAGCTCATGTTTATTTCAAAGGATTTAAAACACCGTTTAACATTAAAATGTCCTAAATAACCCTATAGATATATACACACACAAACATTCATGAACACAAATATATACTACCTTCGTCCCCCTGTTATTGTCCCATTACGGTTTACGATGCTTGACTGACGATAAAGCAAACAGATCCCTGTCCATACTAGAATTATTTTTAGGAAAAAAATTTGCATATTCAGAAACTACATTAAAAGTTTTATCAAGTCGCAAAAACCAGAATCAAATTTGATAAAAATTTGATAAATAAAGTAAGAGATTAAGAATGATTTGTGTTGACCAAGTGAATAGGAAATGAGACAATAATAGGGGGACGGAGGGAGTAATATATTATGTGGGGTCACCTCGTACGCTTAGTCGCTTACCCACACCCCTAGCCCCTACCCTGCCTTGTACCCCCACCCCTCACCCTACCCCAATTCCACACCCTTGACCCCCATCCTTTCCCTACCCCTACCTTTACCACGACCTTACCCTCCACCCCTACTCCCACCCATACCAACCCCCAACTCGTAGGGGTAGGGGAAGGTGGGGTATGGTCGGGTCAAGGGTGGGGGTGGGGGTAGAGGTGGGTCGAGGTAGGGGCAGGGGGTAGGGGATGGGGATGGGGTCGGGGTCAGGGTCGGGTCAAGGTAGGGGAAGGTGGTAAGGGGTAAAGGGTGAGGGTGGGGGTGGGGTAAGGTAGGGGGTAGGGTAAGGTGGGGTGGAGTATGGTCGGGTCAAGGGGGCGGGGTAGGGGTGGGGTCAGGGTCGGGTCAAGGTAGGGGAAGGGGTAGGGTGAAGGTGGGGGTAGGTCAGGTGGTGGAGGGTAGGGGTAGGGGTAAGGTGGGGGTTGGGTCGAGGGTGGGGGTAAAGTGGTAGGGGGTAAGGGGTGGGGTCGGGTCAAGGTAGAAGGTGGTAGGGGGTACAGGGGTAGGGTAAGGGGTGGGGTGGGGTAGGGCAGGTAGTGCAGTCTGGGGGTGGGGTATGGTCGGGTCAAGGGTGGGGGTTGGGGGTCAGAGTGGGGTCGGGGTAAGGTAGGGTAGGGCGAGGTAGTGGTCGAGTCAAGGGTGGGGGCGGGGGGGGGGGGTAGGGGCGGGGCAGGGGTGGGGTCAAGGTCGGGTCAAGGTAGGGGAAGGTGGTAGGGGTACACGGGTAGGGTAAGGGGTGAGGGGGTGGGGTATGGTTGGGTCAAGGGTGGGGTGAGGTGGGGTGGGGGTCAGGGTAGCGGTGGGGTCGAGGTCGGGTCAAGGTAGGGGAAGGTGGTAGGGGTACAGGGGTGAGGGGGTGGGGTAGGGCGGGTGGTGGAGGGGTCGGGGTAGGTGGGGGTCAGGGGTGGGGTCAGGGTAAGGTAGGGTAGGGCGGGGTAGTTGGGTACCAATAGGGTAAGGGCAAAGGGTAAAGGTAAGGGTAAATTCGGAAAGTGAAAAAGTTTAAAGTGTCGCTTAATTAATACATGAGGGTGGTATGCTTAGTAAGCGACACTTTAAACATCTCTTTCGGTTAGTAAGCAGCGTTTTAAGGAATTTACGTGTTTACTTCACATATCTTACTAAACGCCTCCTTAGTGTTTTTTTTAAGACTTGGTGACTTAAGGATGATAACATTTGATAAATATAATGACTCAATTGATTTTTTGGTATAGTACGAGAAGTCATTTGAAAATTTTTGGAAAACGTTAAAATCAAAACAATAAATAATCAGGACATAAGTGGACTATGCGGGTAAAAGTAGAATTGAAGACCGAAAAAAGCTTAAGCTCCGGCCCAAATTGAAACCACCCCGAGAGAGGATGGAGGAAGAGGAAGGCGGAGGGCCGAGGCTGAGCAAGAGATTCGCCGATAAGGGTGGAGAAGTGGATTACAAGACTAAGGCGGGAACCGCCTGGTCTCACAACTTCCTTAACCAGAAACCTTGGCACCCACTCTCTTACCCTAACCAACGCCGGAAGTGGATCGCCGAGCAAACCCATGCCCAGAAGGAACGCCGCTCGGAAGAAATTGCCCGAGAGGTATCTGATACTACGTACTTTCTTCTTCTACTGTTACTTTCACTTCCTTACCTAATTTATTTGATTTTTTAGTATATTTTCTCTCGAATTTTAGGATCAACCCATTCCAGATAAATATTATGTTCCATGTTAGTGTAACATGCATTTGAGGTTTGGCCAGGTTAGGGAAATATTCATATTTTATTAAACAAAAAGAAAGCTGTATTTTACAAAATGGACTAGGGAGTACATAGTATTATTTTGTCCACGGGTATTTACTAATTAGCATCCCCATTTTAAAACATCTTCAGTATGCTCAAGAACAAGAGTTTTTCCGTCAGACTGCTTTGGCTTCCAAGAAGGAAAAAGAAAAGGTAACACTCACTTCCCACATGAACTTTTTTTGCATTTAATAGCTGATTATGGTTTTCTTTTATCTCGCTTTCTGGGATACATGCATACATACATATATATATGCAAAAAATGTCCAAGTTAAAAAATAGTTGTCTGCAGTTTTATTATAAAAAATGTCCACGTCTCTTTATTTATGCCAAAATTATGGGAATCTATATGTTGGCTATATATGTGCATTCATACAGATTTTGGTTTGGATTATACAACGTTTTGTAGTTGGAGATGATGAAAGCAGTTAGCTTTATGTATGTGAGACCTCCTGGTTACAACCCGGAAAGTGCTAAGGCTGCAGAGGTGGAAGATGAGAAGAAAAAGCAAGAGAACAACGGAACTTCTCAGGCTCCAATAGCTGCTGAGGATGTTTCTGAGTCAAAGTAATGCTCTTCTTTAGATTCACTAGTTTATTGTTTCGAACAGACAGAGCTTCAAGAATTACAGAGCTATACTTAGTTACGTATTTTTTTTTCTTGGAGTGGTAGACTGATGATGATTTTTTATGTTTTCCTTTGATTTAGGATACCTGAATTTGTTGAAGAAAAAAAGAGACCAAGGCCAAAGGATGTGTTTGGCCGGCTCTTACCAACAGAAGATCAATTTGAAGTCCTCAAAAATGCTCCAAGGTATGTTTTTCTTTTTTGATATCTGGAATCACTATGGTGGTTTGTTTTCCACGCTATGTTAGTAAAGAAGATTTGAGAAAATCAATCACTCAACTTTATATTTACTGAACTAGATGGGGATGAGATGGAATCTTTACAAGTATGGCTTAAAGAAGATGAAACACTAAAATGTCAAAGTATGTTCACAGAGAAAAACATGTTGAGTAGTCCATGCATCAAAGGAATATCATACAACACTGATGTAGAAATTATTGTTGAGTTAGATGCAATAATTAACTTCATATGTGATTCTCATTTTTATCATTTTGCAAAGTTGATTAATCAATTATTCCTATCTTTGAATTATGCAAATGAAAATTCAAATAGGGTTTAACTTGGTATTGGAAAATCTCAAGCACATCTAACACAGGAACTGGACTATCTTTGTGGAAAGGACCAAAATGGAATACAAGTCTATATTTGTGTGATGGTGGGAGTAAACATATATTTATCACCATAGGCCTTATATAATACTTGTACGGTGTGTTTGGTTTGAGGGGAGGGGGGGGGGGGATAATTTTAGGTCTTCCTACTCTTCAAGCAGAACACACCCTTAAATTTTAAAAAATAGCCCTTCCCCTCCATTGCCCAAAACGAACCTCCTTCATCCAGCTGATCTACTACTTTTTCAACTGTATTGGTGCTCATATTTAGTGTTGTAGATTTGATTTTTCGCAAACATTGATGATTCTAGTTTATTTGTTACCCAGGCTGGACACAGGTGCCCCTGGAAGGGCAAAACCTTTTGCCGTTGAGATACGGAATGTCAAATGTGTAAGGTGTGGAACCTTTGGCCATCAAAGTGGTGATCGTGAATGCCCATTGAAAGATGCTATCATGCCAAACGAGGAGAGTCGGTTAAGAAGAGATGACCCTTTGACTGCTATCATAGCTCAGACAGACCCAATCGAGGTTGATAATCTATCCCATAAAGTGGCCCCATCCTTTTTTGGTCACGTTTGTGAGATTCAACAACAACAACAACATCCAAGCCTTAGTCCCAAAAGATTTTGTGGCTGGCTAACATAAACCAATACATGATATTTTGTAGATAAGCAATTTACACAAAATTATCTGATAGCTGTAATTTTATAAATGAATATTAATGATAAACGACTCAACATGTGTTTTTTGGGTTTGCTCTGGCAGCCTTTAAAGTGGGAACTGAAACATAAACCTGGATTGAGCCCTCCACGAGGTGGGTTTAGACCTGATGATCCCAATCAGCAGATAGTTGCAGAGGATATATTTGACGAGTACGGAGGTAAGCTCTCTAAATCATGAATGGATCTTAAACTCACCCCCCTCCCCCCGGATTGACCTCTCTAACTCTTCAAGTGCCTTATAACCGAAGTACAGTGACTCAAAAATGACAGTGATTGACTTCAGACATGTCGTGTAGGCATGCACCCAAAAACATACACAATTAGATATGTGAAGAGATAGGTAAACAATGATAAGACCAGTTGCAACGGTAAAAAGAAGACATTGTAAATTAAAACTTTTGATATGTCTGGACTGGGAAACCTGGAGTTTATACTGTAAAATTTTCTTTTACATCTTTATAAATGCACCTAAATGCATTTGTGTTTGAGAGGTCTCAAAAAACGGCATGTCAAAAGTTAATTCCACTTTTTTTGAAAGTTGGAGTTTTGGAGATCATAATTGAGTTAGTTTAGTTAAGATTATGGGCATAAGAGGATGGGAGGAGTTCAAGGGCAATCAGGGCTTTTTGTTGTTCTTCTTGTTGGAAATTCAAGATCATTTATGAGTAGCCATAAATCTTTTTTACACTAGGGAGCTATTTGGATGCAATTACTAAGGACTTATCTGATAATTCGCAGGGTTCCTAGCTGGCGGTGACAGTATTCCTGACCTTTTGCTATCCAACTTTTCAAGAAGTAAGCGAAACAAAAATAAAAAATCAAGTAAGAGAAGCCACAGGAGGAGGGGGGCATCATCCGATTCAACTCATCGTGAAGAAACCTGTTCTTACTCTTCTGACGGTGATGATGATGATGATGATAGAAGAGGAAGAAGGAAATTAAAGAAGAGGAAACACAAAACGAAGAAGCATCCCAAGTCAAAAGAGGAGGAATCATCATGTGGCCATGCCGACAACCATCATCAAACAGGAAGAACTATCATCAAATCGAGGCACAACTCTGATTCAGCCACCAGAAAGGTTAAGAAGGGGGGAGGTGTCCACCACCACCGCCATCACAGTCATAGGCGTCACCATTTTCATTCTGTATCAAAAGAATGACATAATTGTGTGCAACATATAATTTCTGTAATGTCACGAAAGAGTGTGTGCAATATATGAAGTATATTTTATCAGTTTTGGATGTAAATCATTCAATTTTTTATTATAAAAGACATGCATTAAAATATTGAAAAGATGTGAATAATTATCGAGAAGCTACCCGAATCAAATGGCAAACCTTAGGAATAAGATCGATCTGGTCTTGGTATCGGGCTTAGACTGCTCGGTCCTACCATTAATATTTGAAGTTTGGGCATGACTCGTATAATTCTGGTTCTGGACCGGTTCCGGGTACTCCGTTGTTTAGGTCTCCAACCTTCAGGCAATGTGCAAGGAACAAAGTGAGTCCACCTCGGGGAAGCAGATCACTCCTCCCCCCACACATGCACCATCATCTCGACGATCAACCTATTGCAGGTGGGTAATGACAATGGTGTCGTCCCCCAAGACATTGCCTTGATGATGGGGCCATCACCAACTTGTTGGTCCCAATTAATCAACGGAGAAATAGTCTACATGGGTGAGTAGATTGTTCTTGGGTTCTCTTTTCTTGTGGGGCAGAATGTCTGTCTCACAAAGTTGACACAAATCTTGGTAGGTTTGGCCTTGCAGCGAGAAAGGTAAGTCTGGTCGGAGATGCCTATAAAACACTAAGGCAGATTTGCCATCTGTGTACAAGACAGGTTTGTTGTTGTACAACGAAATCTGCTAAAGCACGTTGAGTAAAAGATTGGCCTAAGTACAAAAAAGTAATAGCAGTTAAGTAATCGGCATCAGGGATTTTTATAGTGGTTCAAAGAAAACGTGTTCCTCTAATCCACTATTACATTAAGCAATTGTAAAACAACTACAACACCTAGACTCCCTAGCACTTAAGAAGCTTTTCACGTCTTCTCCAAGTGCAATTAGCTTTGTCACCTGGGATGCAACTCTGCTTCTTGATGACTGGTTGTTTCGCCGAACTCCTTGAAGTGTCACTACTTCACTCTGGTTACTTTGACGCTCTTCGTTTGCAAGAAGTAATCCTTTGTAGAAAAATAAAGAGTTTTCCTCCAACGTCTCTGTACAAGATATGTAGATGTAGCTTTCATATTAGGTTGAAGAACGAGGACGAACTTGTGTATCTTTCGAGCTCTCGTTTGAATTCTTGTGTAGAGTACGTAGTTGTTTTGCTCTCAAGAATTCTCTATTTGTCTTTCAAAGTTTGTAGTTCACCCGCTCCTCTAAGTGTATAATATATACTGGTAGTAGTCTTCCCATTGAGTGTAGAGGACAACTTCACTAAATGCATGTCATGTACACTTGACCTTGTCAGCTTCAAGGTCCTATCAACATACTATTTCGGGATATCTAATATTATTCTCTTGGACGACAGTGTAGTCAATCATGCACCATTAATATCTCAACATACTTCTTTGTACGTTCTTCGGATAAGAGTCTCCTCCAAATGCAAAGTCATGCATTTATATAAATTTATAATTAACTAATACCAACCGGTATTAATTAATCCATTATTTATCTGTCAACGTTTTCATTGACCGCCATTTCAAGCCTTGTACGTATCAACTTAATCATCATATAATTAAGTTGGTAATACTAATTTGTGCTTCTCCTACACTTCAAGCAAATATGCATTTTATATAATTCCTCATATCATATTTTATGCATAAACAATTAGTTCCTTTCATACAAATTTAACCATGTTGGCTAATCACATGTTTAAATATCTTTTAAGCATCGTTATGAACATATATAACATTTATTTAGGTAATCTCATAATTAACTCAAAAGCTATAAGATATTAAGCCGTCCACTCACCTCAAATGAGCTTTAAGAAGTTCTACTCTTCTTAGTTGAACTCCGACGAAACTCCGGCGAAACTCCGCCGAACACCGGCGAAACTCCGGCGAAACTCTAAAAACCCTTTGGTGAAGTTCCTAACAAGGTTTTATCATCATAAAACCCATATCAACACAAATAACCTCTCAAAATTTCAATGAGCAATGTTTAGTAATTTGAAAGAACATGAGGAAGCACGAACCACGTCTTCCTTGAATTTGATGTCACCCGTAGAAGGGTGCAGGTAGCAAGCTCTAGCTTCAACCTGAAATGGTGGGGCCCCCGAACGGGTCAGTACAAGTACCGAACGAGTAGCAGACTAAATATAGAATAACTAGTGTTTCAAGTATAAGACCCAAACATAGGGTGATACTTATATAAATAGTCTTTTCCCCCAAGTTAAGAAATACTTAATAGTACATATACACTTGGAAAATACCCGATCCGTAGATCGCCATTTTATTTGGGAAAATAGTAATAGTCAATATTCTTGACTTAAAACCCCAACCCACCCATATACTTATGAGTGTATATGACTCCTCCTTATCCTTATTTCAATATCATAATCTACGAGTTTTGAGGATAACATAATTCTTGGGTGCTCCACCGATAAATATTTGAGTGTTAAGGACTTTTAGTCCTAGGGTCCTCCACCAATTTATAATCCGAGTGTTAAGGACTTTTAGTCCTAGGGTCCTCCACCAATTTATAATATGAGTGTTAAGGACTTTTAGTCCTAGGGTCCTCCACCAAGTTTATAATATGAGTGTTAAGGACTTTTAGTCCTAGCGTCCTCCACCAAGTTTATAATATGAGTGTTAAGGACTTTTAGTCCTAGGGTCCTCCACCAAGTTTATAATATGAGTGTTAAGGACTTTTAGTCCTAGGGTCCTCCACCAAGTTTATAATATGAGTCTTAAGGACTTTTAGTCCTAGGGTCCTCCACCAAGTTTATAATATGAGTGTTAAGGACTTTTAGTTTTAGTGTCCTCCACCGAGTTTATAATATGAGTGTTAAGGACTTTTAGTCCTAGGGTCCTCCACCAAATTTATAATATATGGTCAACCTCCTATCAATCCTAGATAGAGTCTATACCCTATTTATTCATTCATAGTTAAATCAATCTATAAAGCTTATGTATCTCAATTCATGCAAAGTCGTGCATTTATATAAATTTATAATTAACTAATACCAACCGGTATTAATTAATCCATTATTTATCGGTCAACGTTTTCATTGACCTCCATTTCAAGCCTTGTACGTATCAACTTAATCATCATATAATTAAGTTGGTAATACTGATTTGTGCTTCTCCAACACTTCAAGCAAATATGCATTTTATATAATTCCTCATATCATATTTTATGCATAAACAATTAGTTCCTTTCATACAAACTTAACCATGTTGGCTAATCACATGTTTAAATATCTTTTAAGCATCGTTATGAACATATATAACATTTATTTAGGTAATCTCATAATTAACCCAAAAGTTATAAGATATTAAGCCGTCCACTCACCTCAAATGAACTTTAAGAAGTTCTACTCTTCTTAGTTGAACTCCGGCGAAACTCCAGCGAAACTCCGGCGAACTCTAAAAACCCTTTGGTCAAGTTCCTAACAAGGTTTTATCATCATAAAACCCATATCAACACAAATAACCTCTAAAAGGTTATTTTCCGGCGAACCGGTCATTTTGGCTTCTAAGTCCATTCTTGGACTTAGAACTACCTTCCAACCCCTCATTCTACACTTCTAAATGTGTAGAACAGTTCTAGGGGTCCTCCATATGATACATAAGTCATATTATAGATAAAAAGTAGAGAAAAAGTTAACATAAGGTTGTTACCTTAATCTTTCACACTTTTCCTAACTTTTTCCTTCTTTACCACAATATATCACGGTTTACCACCATTGACCACACTTGATCTTCCCGCACTCCTTCTGTATTTATAGACTTTGTTGTTGAATCTCCTCCGTTGGCTGAGTGATTCAATCTTGATCGTTGCTTGATCTACTTGCTTTGTTCCACTTGACTGAGGCATCATGGTTGATTCTTGTCTTCTTGTGACACAGATCAAATATCTTCACTCAACTTGATTCCTCATTTCAAGGTAAAGATAAAGATGATTTATCTTTATTTCTTTAGCTCGTAGAAAATTAGTGTTTAAGCTAAGTGTTGTTCAATGCTTCAATACAATAAAATCACTTGTTTTTAGTAAAATAATTTTATATGAAATATTGTCACAAAATTTCTTATAAAATTACTTTTTATTCTTTTTGTCATTTTGACTGCAAGTTGGTCTTCTGTTTAATTGTTTTTTGCTAAGAGAAGAATAGTAGATTTCGGTGCTTGGATCATAATACCACGAGGTCTTCTATTTTGGTGCTAACCGAAGACCTGTTCTGGTGTGACCAAAATACCGACGGTCTTCTGTTGTAACCAGAACAGAAAGCCACCAGAAGGTTGATCCTCAAGGTTTTCTGCTCGTATCCGATTTCACAAGGGTTTCAGTTGACTCTTTTCGTACCTTTTCTTTTTGTTTCTTTTCTTTTTGTTTTATGATACGTTTCTTCTCTTTTTAGTACTCTTTGTTTTTCTTGAGTACTTTATCACTAATATTGGAGCACATTACAAAAAACAAAGTTGAAAAAATACAAGAACTAGTCTAATACAGGAATAATACAAAAAGGGTGGCATCATCAAAACAATACATAATGATCATCAAAATCTAGGGGACCTAACTATTTCCCCCTTTTTATGATGCCAAAAACTTGAATAACAAACACTAAATAGTAGAAAAAAGTATCCTAAGTGTTTGTTTCTATTTTCCCCTTTTTGGGAGCAACAAACACCTATTTTTGGTGCCTTTTGCCTGATGGTTCCCCAGTTTGGAGAATGCTGAGGATGCTTCTTTTTCTTCTTCTTTCCTTTGCTACCATGATTTTGTGGAATTTGATATGGTAGGTTTTGTTGATGGTCTCCATTGAGAGTGTGGTCTCAATGTTCATTGTATTTAACCAACCAAGAGCAGACTCTTCTTAAGTCATCATTTTGGGCGCATTGGGAAGAAGTTCTAATGGGGACAATCCCATGCTCTCCATTCCAGCACTCTCAGGCGTTCTTTGAGCAGAACCTCCTTTTTCGTTTCAAAGATGACTTGTGATTCGAGATCAGCGAGGCATTCTTCTTGTTCAGGGGTCAGGCTTATTTTGTGCTGACTTTGTAGTTTTGGGGGTGTTAATGTGAGTTCAAGAGATATGTTTGAGGGATTTGCCATTTGAAAAATGGTGATGAT